GGTCCATAAAGGTGTAATAAAAAAGTAAAGTTATTTTTAGAATAGAGCAGCTCATTTCTAATCAAGCTTCTTTGGACTCTAGAAGGGTCAACTTGGCATCCCGATTTAGCTGCCAGATGCTGATCCAGGTCCTTGTCGCTCTCTCAAAACACCAAAAAAACAAACCCTACCACTCTGAGGAACCTATCAGAATTTTAAAGTTTCTATGATCTTTGGCATTTTGACTAGAATGATGTGACTGAAATTTGGACTTATAGACTCATATAGCATGCGTCTGTACTGTATGTAATGTTTAAGCATGGCTTGCACAAACCTGGTGGACCTTTCCAAACCTTTTTGCACAGCATTTTGGCATAAAATAATAGGGCACATAGAGATGTTAGCAATGATAACACTTGGGGTTTCGTTTAATTTAGGTTTATGGGAGCCAGGAGTTTGCTGTTGCTCAAGTGTAAGGGGAGGTCACACTACATATTTGCCACTTTAGTCTATGGAAGCTGTTTTTTTTCTATTTTTAAATACTGCCTACAAATTTCCTGTATTTTCTGATTGTATTCTAATAAGCAGACTGAGCCATAATTATATATGGTTATTATACCATCGCCACAACAAATCTAATGGTGGTCTAAGAATTTTGCATGATATATATGGAGAGGGAGGTTGTTATCCAAATATTCTTTATCCATATATTAATACCCATTAATAAGCCCACCTGTGAAAACAGACCCTCAAATTTTAAACCAAAATGCAATGAAAAATGTGTCAACCACAGATAAGCCAATTGTGAATATTAAAACATAGAAAGAATTTGAGGACCAGCTTATCTGCAGATGGGCACATTTTTCATGGTATACTAGTTAAAAATTCATAGGTGGCTTTGTGAAAGAATATATTACAACCTGTAATGCAAAATATAATTCCTCCCTTGAAGAAAAAAAATAGAAAACTAATATCCCATAATATTCTTCTTTTTGGTTATTTTATAGAATCTAATCTAGAAAATTGGAGGCTTTTAAAAATGTTTTTAACTGTTTCCATTCTTTTATGATTACATCTACAGAATATATTCTCCTAGAAAATAATTTTCTCTTTATATGCTTTTTGGGGGGGGTACGTATGTCCCTCATTAATTTGAGCAAAAGTAAAAGGGACCTTCTGGAGAATCATATCATCACTAGCTCAGCTATTATGCTTCATTTTAATGAAGCACAAGAGTTAGCAGACTCCATTTTTTAAAAAAAAGTACATAAATAGACTAACCATCACACTTTGTTCAACAGGAATTAAATCTTGGTCTTCACTTAGATTGTTCATTGACTTTATTATCTTTCTACTTATTACATATTTTAGCATGTAAACTTTACTACAAAATGGATAAAAGTCACAGGTGCCAAACCAGAAAATATACAAACAACATTCTTCATAGGGACAGTGGCCACTAACAGTTATACACAACTGCACATCACGTAGATTCTTTTTTTCTGGAATAAAAACTATTTGTCTACTTATTGTCCCTACAACTTAAGAACAATTAATAAGAAGTATAAACATAGAACCATTTGATTTCTTCAATACAAAGCACTACACAAATGTCATAGACATAGAAAGTTTGCTCGCAAATATTCTCCATTTAATATTTTAGAGCTAAAAATATATTTTAAAGGCATCTTTAATTAAATCCATCTAGGGCTGTTGGGGTTGATCAAACTCTCTTTCTCATTTCCACAGCCATCCTCTTCTATCCAATCTTGCAGCTTTACATTCTTGGAAGAAGCTGATATGATGTACTGTAGCTGAGACCTAAAATTGTACAACTGTCTATAAAAATATATAATTTTATTTCCCTTGCTGAAGGCCTGCACTGCTAAGCCTTCAATTTCTACGTTAATTTCATGTACATAGAACTTTAAGACACACACAGAGAAAACATGCCACATTTTTCTAGACACAACTATTATTCTAATAAGCAATGCAATGAAAGGCAATATGTCAAAGATACACATAATTTCCACTTTTCAACATATGGCACAATTTAACAGTATTTTTTATGTGCTTCCTCTACTTTGTGTTCTTTAAATGCACCCAAACTATGATTTTTGATACAAGTCTTAAGTTCAAGAATACATTTTTGCTTTAAAAGGCAGGCAAACTTGGAGTACCAGTACCAGTTGCATGGGTATCAATTGTCTTTGGATGACATCATCCAGACCTAGGACTAGACTTTTGGAAAATAGTATATGCAGTTGGCCAAAATAGCACATCCTTCTCCATAGCCTCACTTTAATCCAAATGGAAGCAAGAGGGTAGTGTGTTTCTTTGCTATATTTGCTTTTTATATTTTGCCAATTTCACCATAAACACCACTTCCATTCTTTTAGGATGTATTTAAGGACTAAATTTTATGCTTCTTAAAAATTTGAGAAAACACAAATGCATTTGCATGTGTAACATCCCTAAAGGAAGAAATTCAGTATTCTAATTCAGCTGGAATTCTGCCATTTCCCATGCAGGTGATCTATTAACTACTCAACACCTAACACAGTGTTTTAGATTTGAATGAAATAGTTCAATAAAGTTCTCAAATTGCAACTTTGTTGAATTAGCACTCCAAGTCATGTTACCTTGTCATTAATATGATTTAAATTTGTACAGGATGATCTCTAACATTAGGAAAGGAGAAATATTAGGCCACAGTTTACATCACAAACAGACATGGTCCACAACATTTCAAGTTTAAAAGCAGGAGACTCTTGGGGGGAAATGGAATGAGAGGGGTCTATTAGTTGATATTGCTGGCTCTAGTATTCTTTTCCCACTAGAAGTTTCCAGTTCTTGTAAATGCAGATTTTTGTGTAAGCAGCTCAAAGATCAGAATAACTGATCAATAATACAGTCAGTTTCTGTATACTTTTTCCCAACTATTTTCATACTGAATGTGAGAGTACAAAGGCAATTTAATGTAGTAGCAAGCACTGATCAACCCCCTATCTCTGTAGCCTTAATCTAAAGGCCATGGGCCATTGCTGGCATTAGAGCCACCAAATCAACAATGATCAGAAGCAGAGAAAAAGATTAAATTCATTGTTACACATCTGGCAATTTCTAAAGTTCAGTTGTAAATTTAGTCACTTTAAATATCCCTACCTTACTTTGTAAACATATCAAACTAGATAGATGTACAGAATATGTAATGAAATGCTCATCATCCATTTTATCTACACTTTATATAGATTAAAACCTCATTACAAGGACTATGTAGTCCTTTGGAATTGATTTCCAAAAGGTACTTTTGATCCTGCATGCAATACTTTAAAACAGCTGCTTAGTCTTGGGAAACAAAATGGCTGATTTAATGCACTGCAGACAAGTGCTACCTTTGTGTTCATGAATATTCCAAATAAAACATCCAAAACTTTGTATAGTTCTTCTCCATACGACTTAATTAAATGATACCGATAACCATGCCACTTTAGGATGAAAAAAGCTCATTCTTTAGTAGATTGGGCTCTTTGTATGAACTCATGATTATTTGACTGTTGATTCTCTTTAGACATTTCACATGCTGATAATGATCCTCAGCCACCATTCACATTATGATCCTCAATCATCATCCACATGTTCATATCAAGTAATGAAAAATAAAATAAAATAAAGGCCACCTGATTTAACTAATCTGGTTTTGTTTAAGTTTGACATACCTTACAACAAAAAGAAAATCTAACCATAGTTATTCACAGTAGTATTGAATAAAGATACAATCTTTCTTGCTATTTATTATGAATCAAGGAACAAGTATGATAACAGTATCAGAAAGATTATAATTAACACCAAGATCAGGGAACTCAACAAGGCAGTATCTTTAGCTAGAAATCTTGGTCCTCTAAATTCTTTGTAAAGTATTGCATTGATCAGATTTGATGCATTTTGAATACAATTTGGTAAAGAAATATCAAAAGAAAGCAGTTTTAGTATCTGTACATGTTTCTCAAAAGCATGTTAAAATGCAAGGATTTGTATGTTTTCACACATGTATTTCTACTTATTTTCTACGTTATTATGTTCAATGTTGTGAAAAAGAATTGAATACATTAAAGTTAATTTAAGCTTCATTTTACATGAATTTTGGTCCTGCTGATGAGTTAGTAAAAGATTACACTATGTGCAAATGTAGTAGATGTTCCCCACGCAGTATATTTTAAAGAAAAAAAATAACTTCAAGGAGATAATTAATTGCTTAACCATTTCCCTGCTATTGATTTCTGTGCACAGCATTGTCATCTTCTGAAGCTATTTTGTTTAAAATCTAAGCATGTCAGAATTCAGTTACACTTTTTTAAAGAACATAAAGATTGGCTTCTTGTGAATCACAAACAATTCAAACCATAGTAATAAAAATTAGTTTCGCAGATATACTGTAACGGTCCTTGCCAAAAGTGGGATACGTAAGAGCTAGAAATTATCACCACCATTCATTTTTGTTAAAATAACTACTAAAAAGTAGTAGTGGTTATTCAATTTAGTGTTATATGTCAACATGGTTATACTTCTGCCAATATTAAAATGCACACTATTTAACTTCTTTAGTTTCAGCATGTTTCTTATCTAGGCCAGATCAGCTTTGTGTCCATATGTCTTTCCGTTTGCGTGCGCGTGTGTGTGTGTAGAGAGAGAAAGAATGAGTCTAGTTCCTTGCATTAAAGTATTTTAAATTGCTGAGGCGGAAAAACATAGTTAGGTTCACACTTTAGGATACTGGCTAAAGGCAAGCCAAGAAACCACTCTATTGTTTGTATAATTCAGCCAGTGAATTTGCTATGGTTTATGATAGAGACTGGTAATCTTTAGAAATGGTGGATATCATTATACAATCTCACACAATACTGAAAGTGCCAAGCACATAACTGCATTTTTGTAATGCCAAAATGACATACAATTATCTCATCTTGAGTTCCCACAGAAGAATGGTGAGACTTCCTGTGATAGCACAACATATTTTTTTTAAAAAAACAGCATTTTACAGGATTTATTTAGAAATTTTGATGCCTATGTGTTACCCAAACCCACCTATGGTTATAGCAAATCCTTGCCTCTCTTCTGATCTATTTCACTGCTTTTTGGAGAAAAAATGGACAGAGAGAGATGATTGGATACTGCCAGCATCTTCTTTCCTTATTCCAGATAAAAGCAGATGTGTGAGGATAGTGTTAGTTCCTGACGTGTATACTTGGGGAAGTCATCTATAATGTATATATTGAAACTCAGTTGAGGATAAAAATGACATGGATGGGCCTGTAAGCAGGACAACAACTCTATGAAATGTTCTTTCCTTTAAAAGATTATGCCGATATATGAAGTATTTGTTAGTAGCTTTGTGTACTTCTGATTCCAAAAGTATTGGGAACTGGTTGCTAAAAGAAAAAACAGTCATAGGGAAACTCAATCACTGTTCTATGCAATATGTAGTTTTACTGTATATATCTAATCAGATAATGTAAAGCAATTAAAAATCTCAGCAACTACCAATGATCTGTGATAACATACTGAACTTTTATATCTCCTTTTCTTTAGTGACTTCCTGTTGAGTCTCAAACATAAGAATCAATGTCTGTAGCAGGAGCAACAGTGTTTGCTCAATTTTCCTCAGAATTAGGGGAATGATTAAAATTAGCCAGCACAGATTTAAAAACACAGATAAATAATATTTAGTATTAAAATACATCAGTTTAAAGTAATATTTAAAATTTATTATAAAGTGAAGATGAAGGTTGATTTTGAAGGGATCTTTTCTTTCCTCCAAAAGGAATACTTTGCTGTTCTCCAGACTAGCTGGATGCCTGGCTAAGGTTACAGTTGTACTGACTTGGTGATTATTCTACAAGAGAAGGCATTTGAGAAGGTTTAACATAATTAAAATTCTGCATTGAATAAACATTCACTTTTTCTTTAAAAATAAAATAATTGTTATTTATCTAAGAAAAAACCAAATCCAAATGCTCAATTTGAGTTAATATATACTAGTTAACGTATGACAAGGGAAAAGGCAGCTAATTTTGTAAAAGACAAATTAATTCTCCTAGAGAATTACCAGTTTAATTGGTAGCATATTTTTGATTATTGCAGCTTTAAATATCTATTTTTCTATGAAAGATGATGATCCTCAATATAGTTGGCCCAGATTTAGGAATATTATGGCACTAATTCACCTACTAGGAGCACAGGGCAAGAATGATGATTGTCAATTTTCAAATTTCCCCAAATTGTGCATAAAATGCAACTTTAATCCTTGATATGTTCTATACACTTTTAAATGTCCAGATTTAAAGTCTCTGTGCTCAGCTTTTTTTCCAAAATTATATTCCCCCAGTCCAAATACTATGTTGGATATAGAAAGGGAAGTGAACACTGATATTGGATTTTTTAAAAGTTAGAATGGCAATTGTTGACATAACTACTTTGTTTGGTTCTGTTGGCAGGAATCTCATGTGGTTGTAGATTGTCACATTTCCTACATTTTAACTGCTTAAAGGTTATTTCATGGAAATGTTAACAATAGATAAATGACTTCAAATTTCAGTCAATTATAGAATTTTTCCATATTTCAACAAGAGAAATACTTTTTCAGATACAGAGTTTGTCTTTTGTTCTAATCTTAAAGGGAATGCATTTCTCTCAGATCTGTTAAACATGTTTTAACAGAAATCATGTTGGTATTTTGTCTCCAACAATAAAAAAGTAAGTAAAAGAAGTTCTTATTCAAAGTGAAAAAGAGACAAAGAAAAAAAAGAGTTCCATTGGTCTAAACTATTAAATAAAACTTTTCAAGGTATTGTTTCTATAGCAAACCAGGTATCCAGTCAAGATATAACTGGGTGATAGTGTCGGAATCTCCTGTGCTTTAACCTGAAAACCTGAAATCAGAATTCTACCAAGATGAGGTTGATTCATCTAATGGAATGCTTGAAGCTATGAAAAAGGGCGTATACTGGCATTTTCTAGTAAAAGAAGCAAATATGGCTTCCAAAACAATGCAGTGTCTAGGAAGTAGTTCAAAATGTCTTTAAGCTTCCAATACAGATGCTATGAGATTGCATACCAAAAGGCTGGACAGGGCATGTAGGCAATATTTGGCCAATGTAGTTTATGAAAACAATCAATGATATGCAAGTGTTGTTTATATTTTAATTCTTTCTGCAGGCAAGATGTAGATAGACAGTTTACCGCCCATGCTGCTGTCATGCTTAGCAAAGACATTAATGCCTACCCATTAGTGAAAGGCTATTCCAGAAGACAGAAAAGGTCTTATATTGCCCTAGCCCTAAAATAGGCCACAAGTGAGAAACTTGTTTGATGCTGAAGACCACTTTGGAGAAAGAAAGAAAAACCCTTTCAGGTGTATGAAGGTTAGATCATTTAAATATTTTTAATGAATGAAAGTTAATAAGTCTTTAAGATTCTAAGAATGGAATTCACAGGTTGGTTCAAGAGTTTCATGTGTTAATGACAGCACTTTTGCAAGAATCTGAGATTCAAAGATGTCCCAAGAAAAAGATATTTATAGAAATAATGAAAATACCCTGATTACCTGTAAAGAAGAAGGATCGTGGATTGATATGATACCCTGTTTTTTCTATTCCATATTACTTATGAAAAAATCAACAATGGGGGAAAAGAAATGAGACTTAAGATTTAAAATTAACTGTGCATGATCTTAAGACTAATAGATAAAGAGAATCAAAGCCAATTTAGTAATTTCAAAGAGATTGGGCGGAAGAGGGTGTCAGGGTTTAATGACTGAGGTTTAGACAACAGGTTCCTGATGCTTAGTTGGCAACTGTAGCTGGTTCTTTCAGAGGCAAAGATGGCCACAAACACAGTTGCCAGTGAAACATCAAAAAATCTGTTGTCTAGGCCACCCTGAAGCCCAACACCTCACAACAGATACTGGCCATGAAAGCCTACACCAATATATTCAAAGAGATTGCATTCAAAAGAAGTCCTGTTCTCTACTGACTTCCAAAGTATTTAGGCATATTTACATTTCACTGCAATGTACAACTTAATTATTTTAGAGTAAAAAATTAATAACTGTAAATTCATGAGATTGGTCTGTACTGGTTAATCAATATTAATGGGCATTAAACTCCCAGAAAAATCTATGTTCTTTTCCGGTGTGCTATTTTTTGAAAGGGATAGAAACTGCAACAGCAATGCTTAGTGTGTTAAAACTCTGCCTCTGGTGTAACTGATTTATTAGATGGTGCTTTAATTTAATTTTCCATTCATAGAGCAGGAATACCCTCACTCGCAGCAATAAACAATGAATTGGTCTTAATATGTAACACATAGCCTTTCACATCACTCCTAGTTGTCAGAAGATGAACTGGGATACTCAGATTTTACAGTAAGTATTGGTTAAGGAAAAAGCTGATAAAATTGAATCAAACCTATTCTATCAGAGGTAGAATCACCATTATATTCTACACATCATTATTCTTTCTAAATAAAAATATGACATGGGATATGTTTAATAGTTTGATAATAAAGGATTAGCACCTCTGGACAGTGGAATCTTGGATTTATTCACAGATGGGAATGGTTCAGACATGTTATACCTCCAAGGCCTGTGTACAGTACCTAAAAACCCACCCACCCATCCCTTTACATTGCCTGAACCTCTCTTTTGCTCCAGTTGAGGTACTGAATATTTTAGCAGGCTACCAAACCTCTTCATTTAAGGGAAATGGTAAACTACTTAATTGGCACATGACACTTCATCACAGTTTATATACTCCGTCTTGAAATCTTTGGCAAGGCAGGAAACCTTGCGTGCTTATACCCAGGTTTTATAATGAGATTAAATTAATTTGACAGCCATTTTCATACCTGGGAGGGAGCTGTAATACACACCTAACTTTTTTTCTCTTCTTAATTCAAGCAAGTCCAGCACATGTGCTTGGTAGTGGATCTCATCTATGCTGGGCACTATTTCATGGAAGTCAGGTTTCTGTCACAGATCTAAGGCAAACATCACAATTTACAGGAAAGAAAATGAGGACATCAATACATTGTGCGTTGTTAGGAGATACACAACCTTTATAACACAGTAGCAGTTATTATTATCTCTGGATTTTCTATATCCTTTTTGCTTTGGACCATCCTCAGTTCCAGCTGGGCTGAATTAGGTTTGTTTCCTTCTCCAGCTTCGGCTTAAAAGAAAACAAACAAAAAAAATAATACCATGGAAATTTAATATTAATATAAAACAGCACAGAAGAAAATCTCAGTTCTCCTAGACCTATAATTCTCCCATCATGAATAAACTTTACTGTCCTTCTGCTAGTTTTAAGATCAGTGCATGAAGTTTTAATATAAGAATTGTGAAATTTGTAAGTCTCAGATATGCAAGTTTGGTTTTTTGGGTGTGTGTGTGTGTGTGATGAATGTGAATGCCTGTCTCTGGGAAATAATCTAGTCTGCTCTCACTAACTGTTGGAAGATATTAACAATTTATTTACAGATAGACCCATGATCATAATGGAGTCTGTCCATTGCGGTTGTAAATCATGACAGTCATAAAATGAGTCACCCACATAACCAACCCAATTTGTATTTGTGTTTCAGTGAAGCATTTGTGTATGTTTGTGTATCTCACAATTATTGCTATCTGTTTTTGTTCTGTTATTTTCATTTCATACATTGAAAACTGCACTTTATGGTTTTGTTATTTGTATTTTGAAGTTGCATTTACAATGAAAATATTTGCTGTTTTCTCCCTAGTATTTATTCAGCACCATGCTAATCCATCTTGTGACCAATATTCATAAACAGAACTATTTTCTGTAAATGGGGCATCTTTCTCCATTCCAGCATCACATTGGCTAGAAATTAGAAGAGTTGTAATTTTAATGCACTTGTCTGTTCCACTTTAAAACTATCTCTGCCGGTGGCTCTTGCAATACATTCTATATGTAAGATGAAAGGAAGATAAAAGAATAGAGCATCATAATTTTTCTTCCTGTTTCTAATGATAAGGCTTCAAATTGTGGCCCAAATTAAGGCAGTTCAGGAAGTAACTGGATCCAACTAATTTTAAAGATCAAACAGAAAGATTTATCAAAAGTTAAATTACTTTCTCCCAGAGATTTGTAAATTATCTGTAACATTTAAACAATGGATTAATTTAATCAGAACTTCAAGGTTGTAACCTGACTGTTATTTTGGCTGGGTTGTTACATAATATTGTTGTTGTCACTATTTCTGAAGAAGTAATAGTGGCCTGTTTTACACATAATGTAAACCAATATATGAGTGGATTCTCACATTATATAACCCCCACCAAATCACATTATGGCTTTTAGGGAGTCATAATGGGACAGTAACTAATTGGATTTACATAACAGACTGGGCTAAATGTTATAATTAGCTCCTTGTGTGAGTTTTGTCTGTATGATTAATGTATAGTTTCATGTGTTGTTCAAACCATAATTCATCAAACCATAAGGTAAACCATGAGTTACTATGTTATATGAATAGAACCATTAAGTCAGCACAGAAGTCTAGTTGCCTCGTTATTATCTGACCATTTGATCCTTTCAACTAGAGGTACAAAAAAACTGAACAGGGGGCTTGAGCAAATCACATGCTCAGTCACTCAGCAATGACACTTTTTAGTAAATCTTCTAATAATAAATGAATATACTGTATGCAGAATCATATACTAACTAACTAACTAACTAACTAACTAACTAACTAACTGTATGCAGAATCATTGTGAAATTGACCTACCCTTTGCACTCTTGATGGTCCTTTGCAAAACATGTTGCATTGCTGAAACTGTCTTTTCACAGGCCATCTGCAATTGTAAAAAGGAAAAAGAAGTTTTATGATATTACCATTTCATTATTCTGACCACATTGAATATTGATTGATAGTTTAAATCATTATTTAAATTAGATAAGAAATACAAATCAAAGTGCACTAGAAAGAGTGCAGAAAAGAGCAACAAAGATGATTAGGGGACTGGAGACTAAAACATATAAAGAACGGTTGCAGGAACTGGGTATGTCTAGTTTAATAGAAAGAAGGACTAGGGAGACATGATAGCAGTGTTCCAATATCTCAGGGGTTGCCACAAAGAAGAGGGAGTCAAACTATTCTCCAAGGCACCTGAGGGTAGAACAAGAAGCAATGGGTGGAAACTAATCAAGGACTGAGGAGAAATTTCCTGACAGTTAGAACAAAGTGGAACGGCTTGCCTCCAGAAGTTGTGAATGCCCCAACACTGGAAGTCTTTAAGAAGATGTTGGATAGCCATTTGTCTGAAGGGTTTTCTGCCTAGGAGGGGGTTGGACTAGAAGAGTCCAAGGTCCCTTCCAACTCTGCTATTGTATTGTTTTACTTTTAAAACTGTTTCCCTATTTTAGAAATGCTGTCTTGACTGACACACCTGACAGAAGTTGGTTTGTTATGTTTTTTTCTTTGGTGGGTAAAATTATAGATTGTGGTTTAACATCAGGTCCAAGGATCATTTTTATTATGTTATCTCCTTTACAGATAAGGCTTCCACTTTATTTTAGATTTTTTTATGGCCACCCAGACTTTTACTAACCTAATATATAGCCTTATTTTGCATAATCTCTTGATCCTGCTGAGAATAGACAAATATTTTTTCTGTAATTGATACAAAGAAATAAAAAAAAATCAATCCATACCTTAAAATTGTCTGGGTGTTTGTGAGTCCAAGCCAAGAGCATAGCAGCAAATAGGTCTCCTGTTCCAACAAAGACAGCATCTACTTTGGGAGATTCTATTCGGATCCTTTGTGTCACTATGGTGCCATCTGCTGTAGCTAATAAGGCATTATTACATGTTATTTATATTCTTTGTTATAGTATCATATAGAACAGTATATTTTAGCATGGCTTTGTCATACATTACAGTAAATCAGGGCCCAAATTTAGATGCACTGATAGTAAACAAGCTATGAACAATATTGGGTGCATGTTGCAATTTCGTGGGAGCACAAGAAAAAAAAAACGAAATATTGGACTTTGACACCAAACTGAATTGGGCTAGTGGACTTTGCAAAATTAAGCACCCCTGCTTCCCCAAATCTTTAGGCAAGTATACCTATCCTGAAGTCTCCCCTTTCAATGAAAACTTGGAATCTCTTGGAGAATGTGGAATGAAAAGTTTAGAAGTGAAATTAGTTACTTTCTGATGACTCAATTACACTTTTTGAATTGTGATAACATGCTCCAATGAGTCCACACATCTGAAAAATTGTTTCATTCAGTGGGATTTCCTTCATCCTGTAGAACATACAGCTACTTATGTTATGGAATTCTGTATAATTGGCATTTCAGATCCTGGGCAGCTTCTGCATGATGTGGGTGATGTATCTAACTCACATAAGTTCATTTATAAAGTGATTCAGCACCTGAACAGTTTGACTTCTTTTAGTAAATACTAAAGGTATACAATATAACCAGTTATTTTAAAAGGAGTGAGAACTAGGGAATGGAATGGTGAATCCCACCCATTTTAAACAAGTCAGCATTAAAAGAATGCAAACTGCTTATCAGAACATAAAATATTATTTTTTAAATCACCTAATATATATCTTGAATATAATTGGCATCACCACTATTAATGAAGAGGGCAAAGTTACAATCATCTCATGATCTATAGTCTTCCTTCATGTTTTAAATAAGATTATTTTATATAGTATTATTGCAACAATAAAGCAATGTTCTATTAAGCAGAAAATCACTGACTCATATTAAGTGATAGCTGCTCAAAAACAAACTCTATTTAATCCAAAAATCCATACTCTCAAGCGAGACAGGATTGCAGCTAAAATATTTATTTGTATGTTTCTGCAATTTATGCTTTATACATTTGAATAGTAACTGAAAACAAAGCATTACTTTTACTATGTATTAACAGAAATGGGAAAAATTGGGTAATTGTCATGCTACCTGTAAATGCTCTAACAATAGGAAAGACAATTGATTAAAAATAAAACGTACTTCTCCTTTGGCTTCCTAATGCAATCAGATAATCGTTTCCTGAGGGTGCCTGAAGGTCTGAGCTGGTGATTACAACCGTTTCTGGTCCCATATTGTGGAGCATATCCATTACCTTTCCAAATATATGAGAGAAAATATATTAGTATTAATGTGCGTTTGTGAGATGGTGACTATGCTTCTTGGGACATAAATTTCTAAACTGTATTCCTTTTTATATAAAATATAATACAAAGAAAAAAAATGTTTCACAGCTTCAGTTATTTAAAACTGTCCTTATCAGAGGTGAAATTGCTCTGGCAATAAACTGCTTCAGTGCATGCAGACATGCAAAAAAAAGTACACACAGACATGTATAAATCTCTTAGATCTGATTTATTCAGTCAGTAGATCTATGTCACTAACAGAAAGTAAGATATTTTTTGCAAGGAAACAGAAAAAGATGAGAATATCTGAACAAAAGAACACATGATGGCAAAATGCAACATCATTTTTCTTTTGAGAACCAACACTTCAGCTATGCTGATGTGAAAGTATTTTCTAGAATGACTTTAGGAAAACAGCTGCAACTGAATTAATTAAAACTGGTTCTGGTTCTGGTTATAGTAATAGGAACTTGGAAGAAGAGGCAGAGATGGTAAGATTATGTCCTTCATATAAACTAGCCTGCAAAGCAATTGGGCTCACTTTATAGAATATGTAGAATTGTCTTTTCCAACTAATATCTTGTCACAAAATGAATGTTCATCTCCTAAAATTAACATGGAACATTAAAAGACTGAGATAACATTACAACAACCCTGTTTTATACTTGACTGAACCTTAGATTTTCCCATATCCTATAATATTGTATGAGAATAAACCAATATGTTAAGGAAAAATTTTCAATAGAAATTTTAATAGGTGGCCAAGCTAAAACTTAAACTTGTTAATTTGTAGGCTACTAAAGTTGGACCTTTCACTTCTGCAGCTAAAATAGTTAATTTGACATTTGGTAATATTGTCTTAGAATGAGAATTTCATTTTGACAGAATATAATTAGTAAAATTAATGTCAAAATATTTTACTGCAAGAATCAAATGCACTGCCTTTTATCCAGCTTACATATGTTGAAGCAATAACAACAGGATGGGACATCCAATGGTCACTGATATCAATGGCACTTCCACAGACATAAATGACAGGATTGTATCATGAAAATAATATCAATTTGTGTACTCTACAACATATAATACAACTGATTTTATTTTGATTTAGCACAGTCTTCTGCAACTTGGCCCCCTCAAACGACAGAGATTTCACCTCCCAACATTCTAAAAAGTGGTTATGATGGTTGATGCATTCTGGAAGATGAAGTCCATGTATTTTAAGAAAGGATAATACCAGGAAATGCGGAGTTCTTTCTGTATAATTTCATCAAGACATTCTCAACAATTAGCTTGAAAACAAAATATTCTACTTGTCACCTTTTCATGTGGCTGATACAATAATTTTGGAAGCCTTATATGTGGATTGTCAGAAATTTGAAGGATAAAATAATTATCAGGAACTAGGAGTCTTACTAGGAGCGCTAAAGGTGTGAAATTAATAGACATCCCAGAAAAAAATATAGATGTATTAACAGATTTCCTTAATGAAATGTTCTAGGATAAGTATCCTCTGTAGTAAAGTGGAATCTGTTTATCACAGAAACTCAAACATCATTACTACAAAATTGGCATAAACACCAGGGGCAGTACTACATAGCAGCTGGAGATGAAATCTGATATTCTCCATTTCATTTATTGCTGACAGATATCACAGTCACTTCTAATTTATAATTTTCTGCATAATGGGTAGTGGGATTTTAGTAGAAAAGAGATACAGCTCTATCATCCTGAAGGAGAACCCTGGCTTCCAACACACTTACCTCTATTGCTTCTTTTTCAGTATGTATCTTCCTGCCAGTAAGTAACCTAAAGTAAGGAAATTTAAGGGAAACTGGTAACACTAGTTTTCAAAATGCATTTTTGAAGAACAGTAAAATAATAATAGCTTTATTTTTATCTTAGCTCGAATGCAAGTAAGAGGATTAACAGTTTTACTGCATAAATATATTTTTCAATTTCCTTCCCACATGATAGTATTTTTTTAAAAACTACCCCCAAAATAAGAGAAAAATGTACTATGTCCTTTAAAGAGACACTAATTTACCATTTTTAAATCAACAACCAAGTTTATACATTTTTTAAAGTTTTAAAGATTTTTCAGAGGGCAAGAAAACTCCTAAGCCTATTTTCTTCTTTTTCGTCATCTTTTGTTGTTGCTATTCATTGCTGAACAATGAAAAGAATTACTTTGTTTGGAAAATTTGTAACAGCACTCACTCAGCTTCAAACTGATTTGGTGTTATTATATCTGCTACAGGTACCACATTATCCTTATACACTGGAAAGAGGTCCTTTGGAACATACTGTAAAACAAAGGAAGTTATAATAATTGTAGAAGGTTAGGCAGTTCATTCTAGGAAAGTGAAAAGGGTTAAAATACAAACACATCCAGGGACAGTTCCAATTAAATAACTGACTGAGACTAAGTAAAGTACCATATTTTTCGGAGTATAAGTTGCACCTTTTTCCCTCAAAAAATGAGGCTGAAAATTTGGGTGCATCTTATACACTGAATACAGCAATTTTGACCTCCCGAAACCCCGCCCCTTTACCAAAATGGCCGTGTATAGTCTTTAGGAGGCTCCCAGAGTGCTCCTGGGGGTGGGGAGGGCAAAAATGAGTAAAAAACAGGCCGATTTTTGCCCCTCCCAGCCTCCAGGAGCACTCTGGGAGCCTCCTAAAGACTATGCATGCCCTTTTTTGACAAAAAAAAAACAACAGGCCCATTCTCACGAAAAATGGGCCGGTTTTGGGAGGTCTGCAGAGTACAAAAACTTTTTTTTTAATTTGCCTCTTCAAAATCTTGGTGCTTCTTATACTCCGGTGCGTCTTATACTCCAAAAAATACTGTATATTTAGAAAGTTTCCATGTGAAGGAATGTCAAAACAAATGTTGACAATCCCCAACATAAGGTTGTAACAGCTCCAAACTAGATGCAATACAGTCTCCTAATCTTCAGATATCTATGATTCAGCTCTTTCATGTATATTTGCAAAAAATGTATGAATTTCTATAGATATGAGGTATATAATAGCAATACTCTACATATTTCCACACATTAAAATGCAAAATTGTAAAAAGGTTAGAGTGGCATAGAGAAAATAACTTAAAATTCATTGACATGCCACTTCCAATAAATAGATTTTCATGGAAGCACTCATTATGCAGCCATGCTTCAAGCAGTTTCATTTTTCTGTCCATCATGAAAACTCAGGATTAGTTTTCTCTTCAAAAGCAGTTTAGTCTTAAGCAATGTTCTGCAGAAATAGAACATTCCTATGTATATTTTTCACTGAAAACTGACACTGCTGTGTTTAGAATAAGCATGGAAATACATGTGTGGGGGATTGTCCTAATAATTTCTGATGAATGTTGTAAGGTTTATTATGCCTAAAAAATACAATATGTTGGAACGTGTAGTTACTTTGACATAACACATTTGTTTATAAAAATGGGCCAAATTCATAATGGATACCAACCATACAGCCTTCCCCGCTCCATTTGTCACCCATCACAGGATCACACACTACAAAAGAAAGTTAAAACTTAATCATAAGAAGGGAACGCATAGTAGCATGTAAGATTGTTTTAAAATTAGTAACAATTAAAACAAAACACTGTCAGTCTTGTTTCAAATTTCAATACTACTTCCAGTAATGTTCAGAAATGGGATGTAAGAGATCTTCTATAATGACATATCACATTAAATGACATGATAGTGGTATTCCTTGCTTTAAAAATTGTTCCTGTCCTGTGCAAAAAAGAGAAGTGGATCTCTGTAAAAGCAATACCAGAGCG